CAGACAGGGTCAACCCACCACAAATGGATACTGTCAAAATACAAAGCTCTTAAGCGCTAGATCCACATCCAGAGCAAGCCAGCACTGACCCGCAGCGAGTAGGTTTCCCCAAGGTGCGTCTCTCTGCAACACCCTGTGGGCTGTCAGATGGCCACCCCCCAGAAACCTACGCTGATTTTCGTTATTGTGATTGGGAGTCCACCCTCCCAGCGATGATTTGGGGGCTTTTATGTCCATTCCCCTTCACAGCACAGATGACTTTCTAAGTTGCCATGACTCTCTCTTTTAGGATATTCTGTGGGAAGTGTTAAGGTGGTTGGAAAGTCACCCTCAGGAAGTTGTTATCTTAGCCTGCAGGAATTTTGATGGATTAACCAAGAAACTTCACTGTCATCTTATTGCCTGTATAAAAGAGATTTTCCAGTGTAAACTGTGTCCTAGAAATGTAAGTACAAGATCCTTTTTTCTGCATTTTTTAAGAACGATGTATTACAGTGATCTTTGATTCGAAAATTTTAGATAGATTATTTTAGATATCTTCTTCTGTTTAGATATCACTGTATTTTTAAGCTAGGAAAAGTAACACTTGCTGCATCAGAGAGAAGTCTTTATTTTGGAAAAGTAACGCTGCATCAGAGAGAAGTCTTTATTTAATAAAATTGAGGAGATAAAGCAAACCTGTATGTCACAGCATGGAAGAGGGACTTTCATTTGTCTGTCATGTCTGTTGAGTTGTGGGACAATAGTAGGGACACAACTGCCATCCACTGTCCTGAGTTTTGTCTAAAAAAAAAAAAAAAAAAGGTGTGTGTGTTAGACATACAGTCCGTACTATGTTTATAGAATTTAAAGAATTCATTTTATGCCTTTTCACAGCAATAATTATAAATGAATCTTGATGCTAGTTACAATAGTTTAGGTTGGAAGTGACCTCTGGAGGTCATCTGGTCCAACCCCACCAACTTCAAAGTTAGACTGGGCTGTACCCCATTCATTCTTGAGTATCTCCAGGGATTATTATCTCCCAACCTTTGCACAGCTTGGTCCAGCGTTTCACCACTCTCTCAGTAAATGTGTTTACTTTCTATCTGATCGGAATTTATCTTGCTGTAACTTGTGTCTGCTGACTTTCATCCTTTTGCTATGCATTTCCAAGGAGGGCCCGACTCCGTCTTCTATACGTCTGCCCGTTTGGTGTTTGCAAACTGTACTAAGACCTGTCCGTAGTCTCGTTTTCTCCACGCTGAACAGACCCGGGTATCGCAGCCTGAGGTTTTGTCACCCTGGGGAAGCTCCAGCTGGACATGGTACTCGAGATGCACTCCCACAAGTACCGAGCAGGAGGGAAGAACCCCTTCTGTTGGCCTGCTGCCTGTGCCTTTACTGATGCAGCCCCGTTTGCACTTGACCTTTGCCACGCGAGCACGTTGCTGGCTCATGTTCAGCTTGGCATCTGCTAGGACCTCCAGGTCCTTTTCTGCCAGGCAGCTTTCCACCCACCTGCCCCCAGTCTGTCCTGGTGCACAAGGATAGTGCATCCAGGTGCAGGACTCGGCAGTTGCCTTTGTTGAGCTCCGTGAGGTTTCTGCCACCCACGTCTCCAGCCTGTCAAGGTCCCTCTGGGTGGCATCTCTGCCCTCAGTGGATTTCTGGTGGCATTGACTTTCCTGGATGTGAGCTAAGAGCTGACCTTCTAACAGCCTAATATGCTTTCAGTCACCCTAACCTCCAGAAAAGCCTTAAGTTAAATAAGCAGAAATTATTTAATTGTTAGATTTTAGAAGTTGAGATTTTTAGCTTCCTTTTTTTTTTTTTTTTACAAGGTGTGAGAGCTTTTAGCAGTTAAACAATTAACATTTCAAAGATGCACAGGAACAGAGGGTTTTCTCTGGAGATGTGAGGGTGCAGGATAATGATGACCCTCTTTGCGATTCGAAATCCGCCTTTGAAGCTGGTGTATCAGTAAGGGCGAGTATTACCATTTCAAAGCGTTTTGTACAGCGAAGTGAAAATAGAACAATTCTCAGCAAAACCAGGGGATTCTGAATATTCAGGCCTCAGCTGAATAACTGAAGACCTGAGTGACACTGTTTTATTGTTTCCCAGTATAACTTGAGTGCATTAAGTCATGGATGAGCAGCAGAGCAGTACTAGAGAAGACAGACAGATTTGCTTTCAGACACATGGCCAGCTCTTAAAAAGGGGGGAAAAAAAAAAAAAAAAAGAATTCTTAGTTGCAAAAGGGGCAAGCCGCTGCTGCTAGGGTGAGGAGCGAATGGTTTGAGATCACCTGGCTGTAGAAAGAAGAAAGTTTCCAGGTGGTGAGGGAGGAAGGGCACCGGAGAAAAGAGAAGCCAAGTATTTCCCTCAGGCAGGAAGACTTGATTCCTAAGGGGTCTGTGATCAGCACGATGGAGCTCACCCCTTTTGCAAATGGTAATGTTGCAGGTTAGGTAGCTGTGGGGTTTTTCAGAATCACGGATTTAACCTCAAATAACCAAGTGCCTGCTCATGTGTTTTAAAATACGCTGTTATCTGCTGCCTTTCAAGACTGCAACTCTGGCCTCGTAGAAAAATAAGTGTTAAAGTATTCATGAAGCAACTGCTCTACGTAGAGGTCTGCGTGTAGTACTGGCACAGGCCACGGCGTGACAACATTACATTGCGTTTAAAATTTTAATTGCCTTAACTGTTCAAGGTGTCTTCCTTTGATCTGGATTACTAGGGTTTAAAAATCCCTTGTTAGCCACCTACAGTTTCACTTCTGCTTTGTTTGCAAAATAAGCACCTGTGCTCATGTGCACATTTCTGGCAGGTTTTTTGTTTTTCTCTTATCCCACTCTTATTTTTTTAATTATTAAGAAAAGGTTTCCAGCTTTAGAAAGGCAGGTGGAGTAAAGCAAAGGCTTCTGTCAACCACAGATTTCTGTAGTTTTGAGTAGCTTGTGTCTTAATTTTGCAGCATTTTCTGACCTAATTGTGGCTCGCGCTCTCTCTTTCATGGATGAAGCAAGAGGGGTGCCCATGTTCGTTCAGCCCTTGGCTCTCCTCAAAGATTTACATAAAAATTTTTCAACTGCCTTTGGCTTTTATTTTAGTTGATAATTGTAATATCAAAAAGCCACCATTTCCTTTTCGCAAGCAACTATCACAGTTTTTAACCATCAAAGTTCTTAAAAGAAACCAAACCAGGGCCTCTATTAAATATGATTGTTTTGCAAATAAAACAAGTCGGAGGGCTTTGATTCTGTCTGATGGGAACTTCTGGGGATTGGACAATGTTGTTTCATATTGAAACACTTAACAGACTGTTTTAGCCTGTCTTAAGAGGTTTCTGACTCTCAATTCAAAATGTCTGGGACACCCCAATTTCAGAAACTTTCCGCTTGGAGAAATCAGAATTAACATCTCTTGAAAACTTACCTTTAGTCTTACCGAGTCTTAAACAGTTCAGTTTTCATTAATGCCTACGTCAACAAATTTGGATCCATGTGGGGCATTTGCCGAAGTTATCCCTGCTTCTCTGCATCTGTGTGCCTACACCTGGGTGTAGTGCTTTGCCCCACTCCTACCTCCCTTTGCCGAATGGGCTGCGTCTTCCTCTCCAAACAAATTCTCAGCAGCGGTATGTGCTCGAGGGCTGATACGGGGCTGGTTTCCTGTTGCGCTAAGACCCTGAGTTACGTACTTCATCGCAGTTGAATCGTTTGAGGAAGGGGAATCTGCTGAACTTCCTAGGCTCCTATTGCCCCTGCAGCTTGTAACCCAGCCAACGCCTATTTGGCTGTACGTTTAACGGTACCATTTGAGCTGAACCTGTGTGTCACTATCCAGCCAGCTTCACGCATCAGTATTTGGACCTTGGGAACGCCGCGGTGTCGCTGACTTCAACCTGGGCGCGCTTTCTCTTAGGTGGTGCCGACGCTGCGGACCATGTGGCAGTGCGGCCATCAGGTGATAGTCTCGTACGAAGAGGACACGGCAGTGGAGGAGCACTGTGAGCTGTGGCCCGCCATCCCGTACTGGTGGGGAAACAAAACTGCCACTCGCACTCTTATCCAGTATTTGGAGCGCATGAAGCGGATGGGCCGTCCAGGTAGGCGCAGGGGGTCGCTTGGAGGAAGCAAGGGACACGCACAGGAATGCAAAACAAAGGGGCGGTTGGGGGGCCGTACCATTACGGGATCCCGCCACGTTGTGCGCGCTGCCCGCACGAGACGCGCCACGCTGCCCCGCGCTCTTGCCGACCCACGAGCGAGTGCAGTGCCCACCTTCGCTGGTGCGAGTACGTGCTGTTCTCAACGGAATATTTAATGTGTCACCTTCTGATTTCTGTTTCAGAAAAATTCTTTGTAGCAGGGATTAACCTTACTGAAAATTTAAGGTATATTCTTGCACACCCATTTGGATCACTGAAGGAAATGACACTCCAGAGTCTTCCGTGCTTGAAAATCTGGATAAAGCAGCAGTACCCAGGACCAAAAAAAGACTGTATCAACATCATTGCTGGAGACTTCATAGGAAATGATGATTTTGTCAAGGATGTGATAGAACTTAACACAAAAATTAATCCTCTGTTACCCTGTCAGAGCAGTGGGGCTCAAACAAACAGCATTTCACTCTCAGCTTCTTAATCTGTGAAAAGCTGAAAAGGCTTTGTCTGTGTTTAATGGTTCCTGGTTCAAACCTCCTGGATTCCATAAAGGTCCAGATAACACAAAACTGGGATTGTATAAAGACTCAGCAAGAAAAGTGCTCTCCACACCCTCAGGGATTCCAGGCCTTTTCACAGAGAAGAGAGCCAGCAGACCTCGCTGAGTCTCTAGAGAACTATGGTGTAGCTATCACTTCACATCTTGGAGGTGCTTAGATTCTGTAGCAGTTGGCAATGTTGACAGCCCTAAGAACTTGCTCCTATTTTATTTTATTTATGAGCAAGAAGGAGAAATATGTCAGTAGCTGCGTGAATTAATCTGTGGTAAGATTTTATTTTTCTTATAACTGTAAAGATACTCTGCACTACTTACAAAATACTGAGAATTGGGGTTGCATCAATGTGAAGCTGTCTTTTTTCAGTCTGTGTTAAACATACAAGAGGAACAGTTTGAAAATATTTTTGACACATCAAAGATACTAATGTGATTTTTATATATATGCCGATACGTCGATAGCATTAGAGACCTAGAAACAGCTGTGCTGTTGTGTGCTGGATGGCCCTTGTGAGCCACTTTGCCAACAGGGCAGTCACAAAATTCCCTGATTTGTAAGAGGTATGCGTATTTGAACAGTTTTTTCTTATCACGCATGCCACTTCTGCCGTGACAAAGGTATCAAAATTAGGGCCTTAGATAGATTTGTCTGTGGCGATGAAGTATGTTATGAGGTGTTGCCAAACTATGCCTTACGTTGAAAACAAACATGTATGAAATGAATGCCTTATCTAAACTCAAAACTGATCTAAAAATACAGATTCTTGGCTTCTGTCATGCTGATTGGGGGTTTCACAGCTGGTCTTTTATTTACCTATTCTAGTAGCTTTAGAGTTATTTTTCCCCCTCGAGAAGTATTCTTTGTTTATGTGAAAACAATGCTGTTTGCCACTGCATGTTAACCCTGTTTTTCTATTTTTTTAAATGAACCGTGCAGTAACAGATGACCATGAAGGCAAGGGAAAGGGCAAGCCTTGGGACTAAACCAACACCAGGCATTGTATAAAGCTCACTATGCAGCTGATCAATATACCTCACTTTTTAGATGCACTTTATAGGCAGAAGCTGCGTTCAAATGTCCAGCACGATGTTAATGTCACCCCAGACTTAGCAGGGTGAAAGGCTAAACCACTACCGCCTCGTGCCATCTCTTATGACTGCAGAATACACAGAACTAAAACCCCAAACATTCTCTTTATGAAGACGACTTTCTGACTGCTTTTCACCTTTGTTCTTACCTCTGTGCTCTTCATACTGAGCAGTCATTCCGTTCTGTGGGGGTTATTTTTGAGTCACTACCTGCATGAAGTGTTACGTTACACGTACTCGGAATGTTTTTCTGCCTACCTGTACCCTCACGTGGTTTCTTACTCAGTTTAATAAAACTTGATCTCTTTGTGTAATGTGGTCTGAAACAGTTTTGCTTCTCCTTTCTGTGATACTGATGGGTTTTACTGGTTGCCAGTAGCAATTCGTAACTCGGGTGTGAGAAACAAAATGTCATCCTTGTGAAATAATTTTGCACCAAATCCATGGTTTGCTGTACACGCATGTTTTCTCTTTAAGAACTGATACAGTAATAGGTACGGTAGACAAATTACTGTATGCAAGAAAACAGTATGGGTAAAAGATGTTCACAGTTAACTTTATTGCTTAAATATACAAATCTCTTTTTTTTTTTACTTCACTGCGATAAGACAGAGCAGTTATTTCACTTAAATATGCATGAACTTATCTGTATTATTTATATACAGCCAAAACCATTTTATTCACTAACTTCCCTTTTCCAAGGACCACCTGAGACACCTGGACTGTAATAAATACAACTTTATTCCCAAAAAGGAGATAAAAAAGCTTTATTTATACAACATAAGAAACTTGGTACTTTTCTGAAGGTTAACTCAGGTGCTATCCAGTAATTTCCATGTGTTTGGAGAGCCACAGCTTACAGCCAACAACTGTTGTACCATAAAACTCCTGTGCTGTCACTGCACTTGCTGACAGAACAAAGCTCAAAGCTCCTACTGTTTCCAAAGAGAAGTTTTCTGAAACAGCACTCATTTCTAAAATGCATCAAAACCACCAACAGGGAAGAAACACACTCTGTAACGCCCAGGCTAACAGGTCATTAACTTCATTTCACATCCTCTTAATGAGCTCAGTTTCTTTTCCTAGAAAAGGATGCAGTTTCAAGGCATAAAAATCTTACTGTTAGGAAAGAGGTTTTTGTATCTGCCAAGAGCAGAATTGCTGATGATCACCTTCACCCTGGCTGTGCCATCTTCAGCCATGACTTCTACTTCCTGAACCGTTGCTTCTTTATACAGCCAACTGTAAAAGTATAAGCATTTAGCAACTTAATAATACTGCATAAAACTTAACCATACTGTCATACTGCATAAAATGTGATCTTTGTTTTAGGTCCACATGTTCCTATCTAGGTAATTTAACACTTTTAAAAGATTGTTTCATTTAACTTTTCATTTGCTACTTGCTGTTTGGAAATAGGGTACCATATTTTTCATCAGCCATTCAGATTTGTGATTTTTATCAGAAAGCGGGCTCCAGGACCAGTGGCATGGTCTTTCAGGAACCACGTTTTATTGTACTAACACACAGACACTTTCAGAAGCAGACTCCAGGGTATCTAACGGGGATGTTTTTTCTCAATAGGTCAGAAAACTGATGATTATCCCTGTAATTCTTAATGCAGAGTAAAATCACTATGATATGATTTGGAAATTTTAAGATAGGCAAGACTTAAGAGTTTTGTATTGTTCCAAGTGCTTCTTACAATTCAAAATTATTTAACAGAATCACAGACTGGTTTGGGTCGGAAGGGACCTTAAAGACCATCTAGTTCCAACCCCCCTGCCATCGGCAGGGACACCTTCCACTAGACCAGGTTGCTCAAAGCCTCATCCAGCCTGGCCTTGAACACTTCCAGGGATGGGGCATCCACAGCTTCTCTGGGCAACCTGTTCCAGTGCCTCACCACCCTCTCTGGATGAAGAACTTCTTCCTGATATCCAATCTAAACTTCCCCACTTTCAATTTAAACCCATTACCCCTTGTCCTGTCACTACAGGCCCTTGTAAAAAGTCCTTTTTAAAGTATTTTAAAGTAAATACTTTAAAAGTACCTTAGCTGAGGTCCCTCTAAGTTGACGTTGACTGTCAGAATCTTCTTCCCTGTTGCTGTCAAAATTTTTTTCTCTATTTCTTCTTTCAACTCTTCTAAACCGTGTCCATGTAGAGCAGAAATGGCTAAAGCATTTTCTTCAGTGGGTTTATACCTGAAAGGTAACAATTGCTAGCACATTTGCACATGAAGATTAGGTTGTGAAAATATTCCAAGCATGGACAATTTAACTGTGTTACTTTATAATGGCACCTTCCTACAGATTTCACTTCTTTTATGTCTCAAGTGATTTCTTTTGTAATTAAAAGATAATAAATTCTTTTTAAGACTGCAGTTATATATGTAAAAGGTTGAGAAACACTATTAAACGTATTCAGAAGTGTGGGAGCTCTTTTCTAGACCAAGAATCAAAAAGCTTGCAGAACATAAAGAATGTTTAAGCACACATCATCTCCTGCTTACCTTTCCATCAAATCCACTTTATTATGAACTTCGACCATTGAGTCCAATAAACAGCTGGGAATATTAAGATTCTTCAGAACTGACAGAACGGTTGCTTTCTGGAGGATGGTTTCTGGATGAGTAATATCTCTCACATGAACTATCAGATCCTAGCAAGCATCAACATACAAGACAGTTACTCGATGAAACACACCGGTTACGAGGTGGCAGAGATGCTATACTATGTTTGCGTTGCTAATTCATCCAAGATGCTTTCCTATCCGTTAGATAATACACTGGCAGGTTAACACTGCAAAATGAACTAAAACTGTATGAAACCAGTACTGGTCTTTGCACCATGATGGAATAAAATCTGTAGCAGCCTAGTCTTTCACTTCACAGTGAGTACCAATTGCCTCCAACAACCCTGAAACAAACCCTGTCAATCAAGCCAGTTACAGAATTCAGATTGCAAATAACTGACCTCATTTTTCAAAGCCAAAGCTGGGTAACAATAAGGCTTCAAAAATACTGAGAAGACAAAAAATGTAAACTCTTAAGAGGCTTTAGAAGAGTAATGGTTGAAAAACTGTTTCAAAAATGGGAGAAACACCCCCCATGTAACTTGTAATTCTATTTTTACATTCAAAATGCAGAAGATTCTCCTTAGCTCCTGAGATACTATTACTGGCGCTTCTCCTAGAAAGCTTTATACTCAAGTTAACAGTTTCATGTACATATATGATCAGGTTTGCCATGCTAAAACCCAAGCAATCGAATTCAATAGTTGCATTCAGAATGTTTTGTCACCTTTGCTGAAGATACGGCTTCAAACTTCTGAAAATTACCGAGAAGTAAATTTCTTGCCTTTCACTTAACACTTCAGATTAAGAGACAAACAGGATAGTTGCAGCCAGCTTTTGAAAGTCTGATTATTACACAGTGAAGAGTCTAATCCTCTGAAGCATGCCAGCATCCAGCTACCACTCAATTTCATTACCTTGATGATGCAGGCTTTTTGTTTAAATGCCTGTGTATATGCAGCTTTACACTTGGCTATAACACGGGAAACTAACTTTAATGAGAAAATGATTGGAAAAGTACATTTATGTTTATTACATGCTGCCTGCATCACATCACAATCACCCACTTTTAGTGCTACAAGAAACCTTAAGTTAGAAACAGATCATTCCAGAGGCTTTTAATGCTCAGAAAAGCTAGCCTCAACTTATTCAGATGCACTCTTTAAGTTTTCATATATTTTATTCAGCAAAATCTGACTTATCTGTTTTACATATCGTGGAAAAGGACACATACACTCCTAATAAACCCTTTCTAAAATCCCTTTATTTGTGTATATTCTGCATAATTCTAAGTGTCAGAAAATTGGCTTATAGTAAGATATTTACCTCATCATCTTAGGAGAATACTACAGAATACTTATCTAAAAGGAAATTTTACTTTGGTTTCTCCATTTTTATAGTCAACTACTTACTGAATAAGCCACTTCTTCTAATGTAGCTGAAAAGGACTCAACCAGATTGTGTGGAAGATCAGTCAGAAACCCAATGGTGTCCACATAAATAACTGCCATATGTGAGGGCAGATAGCCACCATGGGCTGTAATATCTAGAGTGGCAAACAGCTGATTTCGGGGTTGAAGTCCTGCTTCCCCAGTCAAGGCTTTGATCAAGGTAGTTTTTCCTAATTAAAGAAAAAAAAGACAAGATTTTAATGGCTTGTTTTAAGTAAAAATTTAATTTGCAAGGCTTAGGTGAGTTGTATGATGTAACATATCTTTTCATACCTATTTCCCTAATTTGTATCTAGCCTATGATTAGCTGTCTAGATGATGTTAGGAAACTCAAAGACAGCCTTAACATTTAGAACTTGGAACTGGATTTAAGGCCACGCCTGGAACCTATGCTGTGAAATCAAAAGATGGTCAAAGACTGAACTGACCCACAAAAACAACCTACCCATATCTCTCGCCTCTAAAACTGTCTGAAGAGCACTGTACTGACAGCGTGAGGAAGCGTACACTTACGCACTCCTCAGTGCTTCTGTTGGCAAATAAAACAATTCAGTAGTTACTTGTTGAATCCAACAATACACAGAAGCACTAATAGTATGTAGCTTATTAGGTTTGTGCTTTTATAGGGCATTTCTTTGTGAACATAACACTAGAGAGATTCATTTAACTCAATATTTTGCAGCATTCAGTCATTAAAGTGCTCAGTATATACCCTAAAGTATTTCAATTATATTAATTCTAATATACGTATTTAGGTGAATCTTCAGTTTTAAAAGTATGGAATTATGACATTTAAGAAAAACATACAGTATAATCCAGATCTCTGAGTATGTAACTGATAAGAAAAATAAGTGCAAGGTAAGTTTTTTTTTTTTAATAAAGATGTTGAATAATAACATGAAATGCAATCAGAATGATAGAATTGATTAGATTGGGTAAGGCCTTTAAGATCATCAAGTCCAACCGTTAACCTAACACTGCTGAGTCCACCACTAAACCATGTCCCTACTAAGCATCACATCCACAGGACTTTTAAATCCCTCCACGGATGGTGACTCAACCACCTCCCTGGGCAGCCCATGCCAGTGCCTAACAACCCTTCAGTGAAGAAATTCTCCCTAATATCCAAAATAAACCTCCCCTGGCACAACTTGAGGCTGTTTCCTCTTGTCCCATCACTTATCCCTTGGGAGAAGAGACCAACCCCCACCTCTCTGCAACCTCCTTTCAGGTATTTCAGTATTTAATGTGCGGCCTCACCAGTGCTGAGTACAGGGGGACAATCACTGCCCCAGTCCTGCTGACCGCACTGTTCCTGATGCAGGCCAGGATGCCACTGGCCTCCTTGGCCACCTGGGCACACTGCTGGCTCATATTCAGCTGCTGTCAACCAGCACCCCCCAAGTCCTTTTCCACTAGGCAGTTTTCCAGCCACTTGTCCCCAAGCCTGTAGCGTTGTGTGGGGTTGTTGTGACCCAAGTGCAGGACCTGGCACTTGGCCTTGTTGCACCTCCTACAGTTGGCCTCGGCCCATGGATCCAGCCTGTCCAAATCCCTCTGCAGAGCCTTCCTGCCCTCAGGCAGATCAACACTCCCACCCAACTTGGTGTCATCTGCAAATTTCCTGAGTGTGCGCTTGATCCCCTCATCCAGGTCATTGATAAAGATATTAAACAGAACTGGCCCCAGTACTGAGCCCTGGGGAACACCACTTGTGACTGGTCTCCAGCTGGATTTAACTCTGTTCGCCACCACACTGGGCCTGGCCATCCAGCCAGTTTTCTGCCCAGTAAAGAGTGCACCCATCCAAGCTGTGAGCAGCCAGCTTCTCCAGGAGAATGCTCTGGGAAATGGTGTCAAAGGTTTTACTAACATCAGATAAGCAACATCCACAGTCTTTCCCTCATCCACTCAGCAGGTGACCTTGTCACAGAAAGAGATCAGATTCATCACGCAGGAGCTGCCTTTCATAAACCCATGCTGACTGGGCCTGGTCACCTGATTGTCCTGTACATGCCATGTGTTGGCACTCAAGATGATTGTCTCCATAATGTTCCCCGGCACTGAACTCGGACTGACAGGCCTGTAGTTCCGTGGATCCTCTTTACGGCCCTTCTTGTAGAAGCGCATCACACTGCCTGATCTCCAGCCTACTGAGACCTCCCCAGTTAGCCAGGATGGCTGACAGATGATTGAAACTGGCTTGGTAAGCATTTCCCCCAGATCTCTCGGTACCCTGGGATGGATCCCATCTGGCCCCTTAGACTCGTGGGTGTCTAAGTGGTGCAGCAGGTCACTAACCATTTCCCCCTGGATTGTGGGGACTTCATTCTGCATCCCACCCCTGTCAGGCATCACAGGGGATTGGGTACCCACAGAACAACTGGGTTTACTATTAAAAACCGAGGCAAAGATGGCATTAAGTACCTCGGCCTTTTCCTCATCCTCTTTCACTGTTTCCCCCTGCATCCAATGAAGGATGGAGATTTTCCTTAGCTCTCCTTTTGTTGCTAATGTGTTTGGTCCTAAGACAATATAATCTAAAAAAAGTGTATAGTCCAAAGGCTATTTATGACTTGAGTATGAATTCCTTTGTGTAAGCTATAAAAAACAGAAGAAAAAACCGCTTTAGATTTATTTAGGTTCTCTTATGAACACAGCTCAGAACACTACACACTAATCAGTGAAAAGCTACAGTGCTGCTTAAGCACATTTCTTTCATCAACCACCAGCTCCCCTGAATTTTCCTCCTATACCTCAAGCCCACACAGTGATCTAAGCACCCATGTACTTTTTTCTATCCATTCTGATCAAGTAAGAGAGATTCATATAAAGGGACACTAGCAGTACAGTCTTCAGCACTATATACACAATCTTTCTGGCACCAGAGGTGCTACACATTTCTCAAAAAAGTCTTCAAAACTGAAAAAAAATCTGCAAAAAGCATCATTTGCTTTCCTAACTATATCCTAACTGACGTATGTTCATCACACAATTTAAGAACTAATTAAAATACAAAGCCTATTCACACAGAAATGAGATTCTGGCTACAGTTTCTAATTAAAAATTAGACAACGTAAGCTCTTTCGTGTTACAATTTCACGAGTTTTTGCTTACCACAATTAGTATAGCCCATTACTGAGATAATTGGAAACTCGCGTTTTCTGCGCTGAGTTCTAAGCAAAGCCCTCTTTCTTCTTAGTTTCTCCAGGGCATTCCTAATTTTAAGCTCTTTTTCTTTCAAGACACGATTCTGTGTCTCCATGAATGTTTCACCTGAAAAATACAACCGAATAATTGGCAGAATAGTCTACAAGAGCAACAGTAATCCAAGTGATGTCGTGCATTTGGAAATCAAGTGAATTAGCACTAGGACATACTAAGTTATAAATAAGCAACTAAACCGTGTGTTCTTGCCTGAGAGAGTGGTAAGTAATTATTAAAACAGATGCTAAGCACCTTAGAATAACCACGTACACGTCTGATAAACCCCTGTGGCAGCAAATACTCTGTCCACTGAGCCAGTACAGACCAAAACTTTATATTAAGTTACTTTCCAAGAATTCTTTTTACATTCACTTAATTAGATGCAGAACACAAACAGTTTTTCACCCCAGCCTCCTCCAAATAAAATAAGATGCAATTAAATTTGTTTAGAGGCTATGGAGAAAAAAAAAAATCCTCTAATTTATGAGAATATTTAGACTTTACCTGAGCCCATGATGTATCTTGATCCACCTCTCTGCTGATCTAGCTGAGACACCTCATTTTTCAGATTTGACCTGGCAGTGGAGTAACAGTTAATTAGAAGCAATTTTCTTTAATCAAGCTATCCTAAAAATGCCTAACAAATGTGAAGCAGTAGTGATACACTAACAGTACAAATAAAACCACTAAATGGCAGAGCTCTAAATCAAACGTGTTCACAGTGAGAAGCTTGGTGGAAAAGGCACAGATTTTCCCTGTTCCTCAGCTGTGGTTTGAAACATCACGCAACTTTCTTAGCAAATTACACCAGCTGCCACGCACAGATATTTTTATGCCACATAATGTAGAAATGTGGAAAATTCAGATGCAAATTAATCCCTTTAATCTTCCTTGATTATAGCTTTCCTTATTAAACCCATTGTTATTATACATGGGATACACATATCCAATTCCTACACATTCTTGCATTACAAAGAACCAGGACCTTTCAATGAGAAATAAATTTTTTAAGCTTATCTATTAAACACTTTCTGGTTTTGCCTGTTGGGTCAGCAGAAGCTTCTTACAATGACATTGTAGCAAATATTCCTATGCTCTAATCAAGCACTGAGCATACTGTCCAAGCACTGAAACAGTGTGACTGTCCTTTCTAGTACAGTATCACCATTCCCGTTACTGTAAACAGTCATTAAGATATGCAAATATCAGTATGCGATTTGGAAAGCCTGAGGTACCTGAGAAGTGGAATTTCGGCCAACGCTATCTGAAGTTTGGCTTCTTTGGTCCGGGCATTACAACGAAAAATGTGAAGTACAACTGCGTATCTGTCAAAGACTTTCACGCCCCAGGCATCTTCCAGTTCTTTCTTTAGCCATGTAAGACAAAATAACCTACATGTTTTCTGTCCTCTACAGTACCAAGTCAATCAATTCCCACGTGGCACTACAGTTACAGTCAGGTGATGGGCACTTCAATTCAGAGGATCTCAGGATTCCATTTCAATGGATGGGTAACAATTATGAGCACACAAAGGCAAAATTTGGCTGACCACAAGCAAGGTGAAAGAGAGTTTAGAAGGTAGAACGTTATGTATAGGCCCATCAAATTCAGCAAGAATCCTTCCAGTGCCTTTAATGGATTCTGACAACAGCTCTTACAGCACATTGCAGGATCAAGAATCTCGGTGGTTAAAAAAAAAAGTAATCATGAAATGCTGGGAAATTGGAGAGTATAGGGATAACATAGGAAAAGAAAAAAAGATCACTGAAATGGAAAAAAAATGAGGAGAGGACGGCAGGAAAACTATTTCATAGCCAGCTTTCCACAAAATACTTAAGCCCCCCCAACCAAGACCAACACCCTCCCCCCCCTTGCTCTAATTCAGCAAGACACTTAAAAGTATACAGTAGTTCCCCACTGCCACCTCTAAAATCCAGAATGCTTGTTTTATACATGTTCTCAAACACTTTCTTGACTCAACCATGTTAAATTGCTCTTAAGATCTAGATTTGTGAAAAAGATGGTTTTTTTAAGCAAATCTAATACCAAAAGAACTCATACTATAAATTAGGGAATAAAATTAGAAAATTGAAATGAAACATTTTCAATTTCCGCTTCATCAGGAAACTGAAGTGCTTGCAATAACTATCTACTGGAGATATCTGCCATCTGTTTTCCTTTTATAATCAGGGAAAGCACTCAAAACTACCAGCAAAGCATTAATGTTTGTTTGCAGTTTGCATGTGCTTTACACCCTGCATGAAAACATAAACCCCGTTTATTTCAGGTTGTCTACGCGTTTCGAACAGCATCTATAGTTCATGCACCAGTAGTTCTACTGTCAGCATTAAAAAACACAGTGAAGCACGCTCCTCCCCTCAACAAAATGCATCCACTTAAAATATGGCTTCTTTTTAAGAGTTAGGAATGAAAGTTTAAACATTGGAAACATTCAAATATAAGGTTGCTCTGAATTCACACCTCATATTCAAAGTACAACACAGCATCCATGGAACTATAGGAAAACATACATGATCCATATAGATATAGAAACTTGTGGATAGAGCTGATCTGTGATGTCGACTTTCTTCATAACAAAAGCTGCATTATCCCCTCATCTTGTGAACCTGAGTAACTTTTCCAGCATTTTAAGTAGCACCAGTAGCAAATGCAGGAGCAGTGTCTATGGTAAATGGCTATAAGGCTGCTGGAAAAAATCATGCAGAAGAGCTGGAAACACACGTATCAACTGGACAAATGTAATAGGAATTAAGTTTCCTTTCAACAACACTCAGTCCAGGTGGCTTTATATACTCCCATTAGCAAATTCAGAGTCATAACCAACCCTACTTCTCATAACATCAATAGCTTCCAAACAAGACTGATGTAAATAATGACTTGATACTATATTTAATTACCTTTGTTAGTGAAGATATTCTTTCCATATTCAAGAAGACAGCGGTCACATGGGGCAATTTTTTAATCTTTTCTAAAAAATGGATAACCATTGCAAAACAGTGTTAAATGTCAACTCTCTTTTTTAAAAATACACAGAATATAAAACCATATTGCACTGAGCAGAGTGCTCATAAAATACCAAATGGCATCATATTCTTTGTTCACAGTTGTATTTGCACTAATTTAGCACTGTGGCAAGAACAGCTGCCAGTTTCACTTACGCCAATCACATAAACATAGGAATTATTTGCCCCGCGCATTTTCAGTGAACACGGGTTATTTCTGTTTTGTATTGCTTTTGTAACCTTAAAAAAAGTCTTTGAAGTTTGTTTGAAAACCTGCATGATGGATAAACAAAACTCTCTCCCTTCAGCTTTCACGCCTACCCTTAAAACAGTTCAGCTGCAGAAGCCTTCCATTTGGAAAGGTGCAGCGCTGAAAAATCTCAGTCCTTACCTGTCAAAACCTGAAAGTTTCCTTTGCCAAAAATAAACTTCTTGTCAGGATTTTTTGTAGGAATAATTATTTTATCTAAAACTATCCAGTTCTGAAGTGTATCTACAAGAGCAATGGCTTCAGCAATCTGTAGTTCAGCTTCGGGAACACAAGAAAAAAGAAGAAAAAAGCATTATAATACACCATCGTAACTTTGCTCAGATTTCCAATAACGACAGTTACACGCACAAACAGGGACTAAGCTAGATTGAAATTGTACTAAGATATTTATTTTAACCAGCAGCACAAAAAGTAAAATGTCTTACCTCTAACCAGGGTAATTAAACTTCTAGTTTGATGCAATTTTACCACACAATGCAGCTTTCTGTCAATACAAATTTTTTCCATGATTGTTGATGTAGAAGAATTTTTATTTGTATTACCAGCAATTACCAAGCTTTTTGCCCCAACAAGTGAAATGAATAACTAGCTGGAAAATAAACCTTGTTGTTTCAGATGAGCACAAAACCACGTGATTAATTTGTTGGTGTTTTTATGAAATATTTAAAGCACTACTAATATGGAATATCCTGCTGCTAATTTCACTGCTACTTATTCATGAAGGACCTACACTGATTCATGACTTGCTAAAGCCAGCAGATTCCAATCCTGTATTCTGGGTCATCAGTCTTTAAAAAAAAAAAAAAACAAAACCCCAGACATCCACATGGCAAAGCGCTGATTTTTAAGGACTTCGTGAAATCACAAAGACTACATGGCCTTACTGATGATCAGTAACCTTACTGATGATCAGTAAATCCTGCTTTGATTTGCCAAGTGGGAATAAGATCTGCTTTTCCTAACAGATTTGTCAAGGGTCTGTAACAGCAAAACTAATCGGTATGTTAAATAGGTTACCTTGGTCCAATAAGTAACATAGTTTGAAAGACAACCACGATCCTTTCTCCTCAAATTGTTAGTGTTCCTTGTAAAATGCACAGATTTCCTGTTGTACCTGTGGTGTTTCAACAATCAAAGACATTTGTTCAGACTTCAGGCTCTTCATCTAGAGGGCCTAAATAAACACAAAGGGATCACTGCTATTCTTCTGTACGTCTGGACAGAAAGGTGTCTTTTTTTCTTTTCAGTGAATGCTTATGCAAATTCTGACAAGATTATGAACTTTATCCTGCAAAGTGTCAATTTGTTATAACTGGCAGCAATAATAAAAAGCAAATGAGATGTAGGTTCATCATGTAACAACCTTGAATACAAGAATAAGTATCATACATAAACTGCCTATATATAAAAAGCTAAATTAAAAGATGCTCCTTTCCATTACAGCTTTGTAATTAGAGAAGTGTTTGGAGAAGCCTCAGAGTCATCATATATCTTAATTGTGCATGATTAATGCACAATAAACAATACTAGCTAGCTACAAGGATTTCTGAGAGAAATCTAAGAATAGCAATGCTAAATGAGGTCTTTATAGAGGAATTACTGGTGACTGTATTGCTAAGTAATGGCATAAAAACACTTCTTCGAGTCTGTGGGAGAACTTACACAAGACCTCATCTTCACTGCACTCTCTGCTAAGGACAGGAGGGCATTTCTGCTCCACAGCCAACTTCTGGGTAAGCCGAAGGCTGAAGGATTCCTGCCTGCCGGGCCAGGCAGCACGGTTGAGGGCTGAAGGCTGTAACATTCGGGCAGCAAGAGGGAAACCCAGGGGTTCCCTTGAGCAACCCGAACACTCTGTACCGAGTTGTCTTACTGTCCAAGATGGAAAGTTAGCGTGATTCGCAGGCTGAAGCACCCGCTGAGCGCGCATCATCATTAAAAAAGTTATCAGAGAAGAAAATGCCAACACTGACTCTTAAATCTGAGTTTGTATTTTGCTCCTTGACCCAGTTTCGCAGTTTTACCGCTACAGCAACAGCCCTACTTTACACCACCAGGACCAATCCCCTAAATTCCCCTCCTGCAGGCCTCGGGTCCAGAACGGGAGAAACCCCAGAACCGGCGCCGGCAAGGGGCGGCGGAAACCGGCGCCGCTGGGTTCGCGGGGAGCT